GAATTTTTTTAAAATATTTATCGTTAAATCTGAGACGTCGTTGCATTAAAACATGTACATATCTTATATATTTGTCGTCCAATTAAATAGCCTTTTGTATACCATATTGAATTATCGCTGAAGTTGTCTCTCTTTCATTGTAATTTATTAAAACCATTCAAGAGCCTAAAACACATTGTATATTGTCTATAATATTGGTTGGTTGTTTACTCGTTCGGAATCAATTTTACACTTTGTCACATCGGGGTATTATAAAGCTGAATAAGTATACTCCTATATTGTTACTTATTTCTACATCATGTTTACTCCGGTGGATAGTTTTCTTATATGCCACCATTCCACATCTGTTGTGTGTTCCGAAGAGCTGTGTTACGTGTATAGATAATAAAAACTCTTTAAAGATAGTAAGAATACAAGATTAAAAAGATGTCGTTCAAGCATATTTTTGCTTTATTAATTACTGTGCGGTTTTTTTCTCGAAATACAGCGAGTCGGAAAGGTATTAAACTAATTTCCCATGTATTTATTTTTCTCACAGGGTCACAATTTCACATATTTTCATAAACTGGAAATGGTAATTCAATGTACGTGTTGCTGTTGAATGCATTTTTTTCTTCAACTCTGCAAATGTTGAAGTTTTTTTCAATTCTGCATCGAAGGATGTCTTTAGCCAAAATAAATTAACTCGCATCCAAAAGACAGGATAGAGAATTAAGTTTAACGTTAACTTACGTCGGACAAAAAATGGTCAGCAGAACTGTTCCTGTTCCATCAGAAGAGACATCCATACTCGCACCGTCGTCATTGTTAAAATTTTTGTTGGAGGTTTTAAAAATAACGATCATACCATGGGGAATTCATCTAGATGCCTCCTGTCAAACCTTAAGATATTTCTAAATCTGAAATGAAATTATTGTTTGATACATGGTAATTTTCTAAAAATGAAAAATATCTAAATGTGCAAGTAAATGATAACAGATACTAACAGCGTTTCTAGAAAAGGGATAGGCAAGTCAAATGAAACAAAAACATTGAAAAAAATATAAGAAACTAGAACTATATATTTAAATAATCAAATAAAGAAAATTATCAAACGAGGAGCACTGGATCGTAGACAAGACGAATATATCTGGATATAAGAAGATGTGGTATGAGTGCCAATGAGACAACTCTCCATCCAAGTCACAATTTGTAAAGGTAAACATTATTGGTCAAAGTACGGTCTTCAACACGGAGCCCTGGCTCACATCGAACAGCAAGCTAAATGGGGCCCAAAAAATTACTAGTGTAAAACCTGACACTTATATTTTAAACGGTAAATTAACCAAGTTGGCTACTGAAAAAAAACATTTGCGAATTTACCCCTTCGAAAATCTGTCTAGAAAGCAGAAACTTTCTATTCAGGATAGTGCGACAGGAAGTCCATGTCATGGAATATTGTATCAAATGGTACATAGATATAGGAAGATGTGGTATGAGTGCCAATGAGACAGCTCTCCATCCAAGTCACGATTTGTAAAAGTAAACCATTATAGGTCAAAGTACGGTCTTCAACAAGGAGCCTTAGCACACACCGAACAGTAAGCTATAAAGGGCCCCAAAAATGACTAGTGTAAAACATGACACTTATATTTTATAACGGTAAATTAACCAAGTTGGCTACTGAATAATTCACGAAGTTGTCTTCGATTTGACCCCTTCGAAAATCTGCCTAGAAAGCAGAAATTTTCTATTCAGGATAGTGCAACAGGAAATCCATGTCATGGCATATTGTATCCAATGTTACATTTATGACTTATAGTTAAAAGAAAGTTTTTTTTTTCAAATACTATAGTAGCTAGCGTTTTATCTTTTGAAGATTTCACCTAAGTTGGTTGCCATAGTCCTTTTTTGAATTTATGAAAAGATTGAAAAATATATAGAACTATTGACAATCTTTCATCTGTCAGAGCTATGACAAGAATATTACAAATTGTCTGATTTATTTGTAATATGTCATTTTCAACCTTAAAAACATTTTAAAATTGTGACATTGACTCAATTATATCAATATTCGCTTTAAATACATTCTTGCCAATTTTGCAATAATTAAGATTAGCTATTTATGTTTTTTAAATATCACCTTTGCTGAGGGTCTCTATGGTTTTCATCGTTAGTTAAAAATAAATAATAAATGCAGATAATTTTTTTATAAAAGGGGGATGGTTAGAGCCTTTCATTGATCACATTAGGGAACGACCATTTAACTTGGGGGAGGAGGGTGGCGGGAGTATGTTTTTTTCTAAAAATATATATTCTGATCCCCAATTTGATGAAAAAACATATTCTGGTCAAGCAGATGACAAAAAAATATTCTGAATCAATATTTTCCTCATACATTATAGTGTTATAAATTGAAGAAAAAAATCTGACTCAGACAAAAAACCATAACCCCCCCCCCCCCCCCTTGAAGTTATTAAATGGTTGCTCCCTTATTTTTTCTGGAAAGTACATGGCAAATGGTATCCTTCATCAAGTGCATTGATGTAATGAAAAATTATTTTGGTCCATATTCAACATAGACGCTGTTCGGCATTTTTATTTTATTGACTTACGATTCATAACTATTGGCATACAAAAGTGAGTATTTTATATCAGCAATTAATTTGGCGTCTATCTGGAAATCAGATGACAGCCTAGATTTCTTTTAATTCATACACTCAAAATGTAGACATATTTGACTCATGTTTAACAAACACACCCAGGCTGACGCAGGTAAAACAAGCGCACCCATGCAGGTTGACTTGTGTGTTACATGCACACCAGACTGATGTAGGTGTTACAATCACATCCAGACTGACTCAGGTGTGTTACAAGCACACAAAGGGTGACTCAGGTGTTACAATCCAACCCAGGCTGACTCGAGTGTATCTAACACATCCATGCTGACCCAGGTGTAACAAGCACACCATGGCTAACTCGGGTGTTTCAAGCACATCCATGCTGACCCAGGTGTAACAAGCACACCATGGCTAACTCGGGTGTTTCAAGCACATACATGCTGACACAGGTGTAACAAGCACACCCACGCTGGCTCGGGAGATTCAAGCACATACATGCTGACCCAGGTGTAACAAGCACACCATGGCTAACTCGGGTGTTTCAAACACATCCATGCTGACCCAGGTGTAACAAGCACACCCAGGCTGACTCGGGTGTTTCAAGCACATACATGCTGACACAGGTGTAACAAGCACACCCAGGCTGACTCGGGTGTTTCAAGCACATACATGCTGACACAGGTGTAACAAGCACACCCACGCTGGCTCGGGTGTTTCAAGCACATCCATGCTGACTCATGTGTTGCAAGCACACCAAGGTTGACTCAGGTGATACAAGCAAACACAGGCTTACGCATTTATTTCAAGCACTGCCAGGCTGACTCAGGTGTTAAAAGCACACATAGACTGACTCATCATGTGTTACAATCACACATAGAGTGACTCAGGTGTTACAAACGCATCCAGGTTGACTCAGGTGTTCAAAGCACACTCAGGCTGTCTCAGGTGTCTCAAGCACATCTAGGCTGACTCAGGTGTCACATTCACATCCAGGCTTGCATGTGTACAAGCACTCCAAAGCTGACATATACATGTGTTATAAACACCTCCGTACTGAATCATGTATTTGAAGCACATACAAGCTGACTCATGTGTTTCAAGCACATCCAGGCTCACTAAGGTGTTTCAAGCACATACAGGCTGACCTAGGGGTTACAAAAACACACAGGCTGACTCAGGTGGTAAAAGCGCATATAGGCTGACTCAGGTGTTTAAAGCACATCAAGGCTGACTCAGGTGTACAAGCACACACAGACTGACTCAGGTGTATACGCGCACCCAGGCTGACTCCCTTGTTACAAGCGCATCCAAGTAGACAGATATGGCCTAAATATATGAAGACTAAATATGTATATTCAATATCAGACTCTTGACCTTGAACAAAAACAGTTTTTTGGAATCCTGGCTCAGTGTAAAAAATGTCTACTGTCTTACACCAGACTACCTTCTTATCCTTTGAGGAGCTGATAAATTGTCGTATTTATAGCATTCGACATGTTAAAAATGCTAGGGGCCGTTAACAGCTGACTATGCGGTATGGGCTTTGCTCATTGTTGAAGGCCGTACGGTGACCTTTAGTTGTTAATTTCTGTGTCATTTTGTGGAGAGTTGTCTAATTGGCAATCATACCACATCTTTTTAAAGTCCTAAATGACGGTTACGGCCTTATATGCATGTTATGTGACGAAAGTTGTTAAACATTGATTTTTGAAAATAGAGCAAACTTTTTTTCTTTGTTTATGCAATGAAAACTGAGGAATTATGGATAGAAATAATTAACTCACTGTAAACAACATTCCTTAACTGAATGTGTGTTTTGAACCCCACTATAATTTTACCACCATTTAACAAGATTGTTTATATCCGTTCAATTATCATTATTTCGACTTTAAAATGTAACGTTTCCAGTCATGATTGAGAAATTTGAGATCTTCTTGCAAGAATGGAAATTACATGTACGATTTTAATAACTTACTAAAACACGGATTTAGATATAGTTTTACAAAGGTTAGCAAAATCACTTAATTTAGTACTTATTTAACATTTTAAAATTTTACATTTATTCCTGTAATAAAATGCGTAAAGGAAATGACTAAAATGTTGAGTTGAAAGAGGATATATATAGAAAGAGGATATATAGAACCATTCGTTTCGGTTTAGAATTTTATGCGTTTCCTGATCTGTAGACCTTCTTTAAAATATTTATAGCTTAAAATTATAATGTTTTGTATGAAATATCATCATTTATAACATGTTATATATTGATTGTAGTTAACTCTGGGATTATTCTATAAAAGAAATCTGATGCATTTTTCCAAATAAAATGGATAGTTAACGGCGTTAAATGGGAGATCATAACTGTTATAGATAACAACAAAAATCCAAAAGATTTTACTTGGCATCATAAGTTGTTTTGTTCAGTTTCTGAATTAAAGTTCAATTTATTATTCAACATTTAGAAAACTAAAACAGAAAACTGGAGATGAAATTCAATACTTATAATGAACTGAACAACAAAAGGAAGAAAAATCAAGAAAACAGTGTGCCGTCTTCCAGTAGGTCTCTACTCCTCCCAACGTAAGTTTGTTTTAGTAATTACATATTTTTGTGTATGCCGTAATTGTAAACAAATTTATAATGCAGACTAACTGTGATATAGTCTTTTTTGTAAATAATAGTATTTAAATACATTTCCAGGACATCACAAAGAGTCCTATTTTTATATGTTTGTTGTAGTGATTTATTCGTCTTTGGTCTTTAATCCTACATTTTTTGCTCATTTATTAATTGTTTCTTACAGAAATGCTGTCTGTAGTGTAGATTTATATACGTAAACAATAGGTTTCCTTGGGCAGGTCACAAATGTCTGGATTAACACTCAATCCTAAATAAAGCATAGCCATTTCTGTGGAAACACAAGTTCAAACTTGAATAACACAAAAAAGTATTGCGCTTTCCATGGAAAAAAGATCAACTGACTCCTACAATAATTAAGGAATAATAGACGTATAGAAGTTAATGTCATTTTTGGTGCGACTGCGCCTTATTGGTGCCAATGACTCCGACCGTCAACCGTGGAATTGACGGCAGACACGCTGATTCTACTTATATCTTCGATCAATATTGGTCACTTAAATTGTGATGGCTTTTTCTATAGATTCATGAGATCAAAACCTTAACAGTACAGTAACCATAAAAATATAGTGCATTATATATACATCAGTCTTCACGATAACCTTTTGAATCTACAGGCCCGAAGCTGAAATTTACGAAACTTTTAAGTTAGATTCTATTAGCCTGTAGAAATGATTTTTAAAGGCATTGCAACATTTTTACAAGCCTGGGCTGGTGTGCCTTTGGTTGAGTACGAAGACTGATACATGTATATAGAAATGAAACCCCAAACTTAATGTATATAAAAATGAAACCTCAAACTTAATGTCTTATCGTATGTAGTTGTAAATCTTATTTTTTTCTGTTGGATTTTAGTATAGGTCAACTAAATTTATACGATATATTTTGTTTACAGTTTGATTTAGAAGTAACATCGACAAAGCTAGATAATACTATTAATTATCTAATTACTACCACAATTTATATAAATCAGTATTGTAATTTTCATTGTTATAAATAAATGTTATATGAGTATTTTAAACCAAATCTTGAATTCTATCCTAATTCTATCCTATTTTGGGAAAATTTCAGAAATTCAAATGTGACGTCACCTTTTTTTTTTTGCGTTGATCTCTTTGGCTATCTCGGCTGTGAATTTTTATGTGCTGGTTTATGTTGTTTTATGTATCCGTTTTTATTCTGTAGTTAGTCACCACTTCGGTGTTATCATGTATATCTATTATATAGTAATTATTTTTATAAATTTACTGTTTACAAAAGTATGAATTATTCTAAATACTAAGGATTTTCTTATCCCAGATATATAACCTTAGCCGTATTTGGCACAACTTTTTGGAACTTTTGGTCCTCAATGCTTTTCAACTTTGTACTTGTTTTGGCTTTCGAACTTTTTTGATCTGAGTGTCACTGGTTAGTCTTGTGTGGACGAAACGCGCGTCTTGCGTATTTAATTTTAAACCTGGTACCTTTTGTTAGCTATTATTTGTATGTTTCTCTATCCTATATGTTCTCCTATTTATTTATATTGTAGTCCTGTCATGTAATGTTGTCATTTTAATGTTATATTTAACATTGCCATAAAAGCGGGAGGTTTCTCTAGCCACAAAACCAGGTTCAACCCACCATTTTTTTTCTTAAAATGTCCTGTACCAAGTCAGGAAAATGGACATTTTTATATTATAGTTCGTTTCTGTGTGTGTTACATTTTAATGTTGTGTTTCTGTTGTGTCGTAGTTCTCCTCTTATATTTAATGTGTTTCCCTCAGTTTTAGTTTGTAACCCGGATTTGTCTTTTCTCAATCGATTTATGAATTTCGAACAGCGGTATACTACTGTAGCCTTTATTAAGCATATTAGCTCCCACTTCGTTGCAAATATATGATACCATATTTAGATTAGAAATCAAATAATCAAGGCTGAGCACAAATAAGATGTGTATGGTAAATCTTAATATTATTGTGTCGTCATGAAATTTCCTTCATAATATAAGTGGCAAGTGGAAGAAATATTTAAGGAATGACTGTAATATTTTTTCTGTCTATAAAGAAATAACATCAAAAATGTGGTGCACACTGAATAACCCGCGTAGCGGGTTATTTTAAAGTGTGCACCACATTTTTTATGTTATTTCGAATAGACAGAAAAAATATAACAGTCATTTCTTATAATTTAATTATAAATTCCATTTTAAACCGGAGTAAAGCATGAAAAAAACGTTGATGACGTCACGGTCACATGACAAAATTATGTCTATGAGCTGATAAACAAAACAACGTCAGCCAATCAGAAGACGCGTTACATCCAAAATTAAATTATTCTGTAATATTATTTCCACTGCAACAAATATTACAGTATTTGTTCCTTACGGAATAAAGGGTATAGAATATTTGTTCCAACAGGAAAAGATATTATGACATTGTTTATAACAAAGTTTCTAGAGGAACTTCTGTTAGGCGGAACAGATATACATTGACAGTGTACAGTTTCTTTGTAGCCATGATGAGGGGTAGAGAAATAAGGACGAAGCAAATATCATTTATACAATGAGACAACTGTTGATAGCGTAGAATTAATCCTTCCTTTTAAATCACGGGCTGTCCCTTCTAAAAAAGATATATTGCTCAACATTTTACCGTTTTTTTTATTAATAATTATTCCTCTGTTTATTTGTTTATCTATTTAGGATTATGCCATGGTGACATATCGAGAGAATGCGGAAAACTTGAGTGTTTAATTATTTCCGTGGAATTATTCGTCTTAAGAAAAATTAAAATCAAGTCTAAATGGTCAATATTTATCTTTCTCTTTAAAATAACTTATTTGTCTGTTTGTCTTTTTATTTTTGGCCATGGCGTTGTCAGTTTGTTTTCGATCTATGAGTTTTACTGTCCCTCTGGTATCTTTCGTCCCTCTTTCACAAATGATTTAAATTGATTTGTGTAAGTACAATATACATTCAGTTTGAATTTTGTGTCATTAATTGATACACGACATACCTTTTTCTACATATATATAAATATTAATGTCACAAAGTTTATTTTATGGTAACAATAGAATGACTCCAAGGAACACTAAATCTTATCCTACTTTTTGAATTACCACATATGTGATTGGGTTTCTAATTTAAACTAAAAATTGACGACAACCACTTACTTTTATACAAACAATCAAATTTTTGCAGTGTTTTAATTGAAATTATACGGACATTAACATTAGGCTCAGGCTTCCATATACCAAAGAGCAGTGCTGAACTCAGGTACTCAGGAGAGGTTTAAATGTAATTAATGTTTTTCATTCGACATCTTTCTTTGTAATATTGCGTGTTATTCCACTGACATTGTCTATTGTTTGAGATAAAGTGTTAACCTTTGGATTATTTAAGATGTTTTTGTGTCGTTGTGTGCCTCTCTATTTGAGGTTTACACAGCATATTTGATTTTATTCATATCTTTTTTTATATTTTTTTAAAACTATTTAAAACGAAATATATATACATGTATACCCTATTATCCAGGGGATACTTGTTTACCCTGTGTTCCAGGAGATGCATGTATATCCTATGTTCCAGGGGATACATGTATACCTTATATTCCAGTAGATATGTGTATACCCTATGTTTCAGTATTCAAGTGTATACTCTATATTCCAGTAGGTACATGTTTTCATATAGATTCCAGTAGATACATGTATACCCTATGTTCCAGTAGATACATCTATACCCTGTGTTCCAGTAGATACATGTATACCCTATGTTCCAGGAGATACATATCTATCCTATGTTACAGTAGATACATGTATACCGTATGTTCCAATATATACATGTATATCCTGTGTTCCAGTAGATACATATATACCCTATGTTCCAGTAGATACATGTATACCATGTGTTCCAGTAGTTATATGTATACACTATATTACAGTAGATACATGTATACCCTATGTTCCAGGAGATACATATCTACCCTATGTTACAGTAGATACATGTATACCGTATGTTCCAGTAGATACATGTATACACTATGTTCCAGTAGATAAGTGTATACCCTGTGATTCAGTAGATACATGTAAAGCCTATGTTCCAGTAGATACATGTATCCCCTATATTCTAGTAGATAGGTGTATACTCTATGTTCCAGTAGATACATGTATACCCTATGTTCCAATATATACATGTATATCCTGTGTTCCAGTAGATACATATATACCCTTTGTTCCAGTAGATACATGTATACCATGTGTTCCAGTAGTTATATGTATACCCTATATTACAGTAGATACATGTATACCCTATGTTCCAGTAGATACATGTATACCCATTTTTCCAGTAGATAAGTGTATACCCTGTGTTCACGTAGATACATGTATACCCTATGTTCCAGTAGATACATGTGTATCCTATGTTCCAGTAGATACATGTATACCCTATGTTCCAGTAGATTTATGTATCCCCTTTATTCCAGTAGATAAGTGTACATCCTATGTTCCAGTAGATACATATATACCCTATGTTCAAGTAGATACATGTATAGTCTGTGTTCCAGCAGATCTATGTATACCCTTTGTTCCAGTAGATACATGTATACTTTATGTTCCAGTAGATACATGTATACTTTATGTTCCAGTAGATACATGAGTACCCTATGTTCCAGTAGATATATGTATCCCCTTTATTCCTGTAGATAAGTGTACACCCTATGTTCCAGTAAATACATATATACCCTATGTTCAAGTAGATACATGTATAGTCTGTGTTCCAGCAGATCTATGTATACCCTTTGTTCCAATAGATACATGTATACTTTATGTTCCAGTAGATACATGTATACTTTATGTTCCAGTAGATACATGAGTACCATGTGTTCCAGTAGATATATGTATACCCTATATTACAGACGATACATGTATACCCTATGTTCCAGTAGATATATGTATACCCTGTGTTCCAGTTGATAAGTGTATACCCTATGTTCACGTAGATACATGTATACCCTATGTTCCAGTAGATACATGTATACCCTATATCCCAGTAGATACATGTATACCCTATGTTCCCGTAGATACATGTATATCCTACGTTCCAGTAGATACATGTATACCCTATGTTCCAGCAGATACATGTATATCCTATTTTTCAGTAGATAAATATGTATCACATGTTCCAGTAGATACATTTATAGCATATGTTACAGTAGAAACATGTATACTATATGTTCCAGTAGATGCATGTGTATCTTATGTCCCAGAAGATACATATATAGCCTATCTTGCAGTAGATACATGTTTATGTACCGTTATTATCTTATAAGACAAAGGATGTCCAATGTGCAGACATTCACAAAAATATTGAATCACCTTACACTAGTTTAGAGCATTCTCATAAATATTTAAAACATTGTGCTGAAAGTGAAAAGTTCTTGCGCTGAGGCAATACATAGTCATGATTGCATTAATTTGATTTAAGAATCTTTTTTATCTCTTCTAAAATTTTCTGAATACTCCGATCAATATAGACCAATATACATGTTTGGTTTGCGTGTGAATAACCTAATACCTAATTTGTACTTTATCGAGAAATAGTATACAATACATGGTATTTGCTATCAACAATAAACATTTTTTTACCTGCATCTTTTTCAATATACTATCAGTTTTATATAGAAATATATTTCTAACCAGCATTCCGAATTCATACCCCCCAATTCCTGTTTATATTCCTGCCAAATCATGTAGAAATCTGTTGAACCATCCTTTTTTCTTTGAAACACCTTTACATTCAAATATTGAAAAAATAATGTACTATATTTTGATTTTGTCTTATAAGCTAATAGTGGTACTAGTTTTCGTTTTGGTAAAACATGAAAGTAACATCTTGTATATTTCTCTAGTGTTCTATACACACATGCCGTTCTTATTTTGCACGTTTATAACATTTTTGTAACCGATCTTTCTCCGTTGTGGTTCCCTTGTTTATTTAACTTTATTCTAAATTAATCAATGAGATGACGGTCAGCACTGTTCTTGTGCGTGTGTGTGTGTTATTGGAACGGTAGATAAAATGAAGCACAGTATACTAGTAAATGTTTTGTATTTGCAGGGAATGAAAATTTACATAAGATCCTATCTACAAGGAATTATAAACTACGAGTTGATCTAGAAGACTGGAACGGTGAGATGCGGTATGCTGAATATGATACGTTTGTTGTAGGCAATGAAGCTACTTATTACGTACTCACTATTGCAAATTATAATGGAAATGCTGGTATATATTTTAATCATGTCTTTCATTTAGCTTTTGTTTTGTTCAGATCACATCGTGACGCCGTGTGTTTACTTAGTGATATGTTAGTTTATGTAATACTTATAAACGAAAACAACCTCATTTATTTCGCATCCACAAAACCAAACGTATTCAAAACGTTGATTTACAAACACTTAGGCAAGCAAAAGCGCAGTATTAGTTTTATATGAGTCCAAAATTTGGGAACTATTAAGAGAGAATGATGACAATCGCATGAACAAATTGAAAATGTTCCTTTAGATTAGATAACTGGTTAAGGTGGGAGGTTAAGCTAGCTATATAAACTCGGTTAACCTACCATTTGCTTCGGAAAATGTCAGTACTAAGTCAGGACTATGAATGTTGTTTTCCACTTGCTCCTTTGATCATGTTGATTGATAGCGTTTGATTGTGTCAGTTTTTATGGACTTCACCTTTTTGAATTTTGCCTTGGAGTTCGGCATTTTTGTTATACTTTGTTCGTATAAAAGCCTTAAAATCAAAACAAATTGCATATCAAAGTAAACAAAACAACAAATTTTAAATTTTCACATAATTATTTCATTGATTTCTGCAGTTTGGAGACTCTCAATTGCAGTAAGCGTAATACTTGATCATTTAAACCAACAGCCCATATGTGTTGTCTTTACGATTGTGTCTACAACATCGAACAAGACATGTATATATATAGATTTCATAAACACACCAATAGATTAAATATGCATCTGATTAACATAGTTTAAAGCAAAATTATAAAAGACAGAACTAGCTTTTAAAATCACAGAGCTAGGTTTAGAAATACACCTTTGTTATGAAAAATAAAGAGCTCGGTAAAATGATATTCATCCTTTCCCACATCATAAAAAACTCATGTCTCTTGTACTCAGAATCTGGAATTTATTTTGCGTTTTATTTGAATTCTTTGGATTCTTCAAACTTTCAAATGAAACAGCGCGAGAAGGAAAAAATTCAGATATGCAAAATGCAATTTTAATTGGAAATATATCTGTGAAAAACTCATTAATCGATTATAAATAAAAATCAAGGTAACAAACACAAACTTCAAAGGGGCAAGACCGGGTGCGATAAGTTTTTAAATTGAGATGATTATTTTTATATCTGGCTGTGAATTTTTACTGTATAATTGTTAATTTGTTTATTGGTCTTTTCAAGTGTGATTTCGTTGTAATATAAATCATATCATTTCAAACAATATATAGGAATTGTTTTTACAACTCCCAGCAAAATAGTTATAAAAACTTCACACTACACTTGTAAATATTAAGAATAATTCAACCCAGTTAAATTTTTTGCTGCTTGATAGACTGATTGATAAAACTTTAATTATTATATTGTTATTCATATTGTTATTCATAATAATATAACATTTAGGTTACTTATCATTGATTACATTGGCAAACTTGGTCTAAAACATTAAATGAGTTTCAAGTGAAAATCACATGAACAAAATTTGCTGAGTACCTTATTATGTGACCTAGTTGAATTAGATTTATCATTTGAATTTGCGTATTCTGTATACGGCCTTTTTTATCATAAATGTTTCATCAAAATATCAAGCATGTTCAATGTATCGTCTGTAATATATTTTGATTTTAAATTGTTGTGGTTCGCAAAGTAAAATTTAGTGTGACTTAAAGTAAGAGATATATACTGATGAATCGAATTTTGCAGCAAAGAATTGTCAATTGAATGAGAAGATAAAGGTTGTCTTTAAATCAAACGTGAGGAAAGAACTGGAAAAGTTAACTAGTTTGATATCGTTGCAGAATTGAAATGATTGTTTTTGAAAATTATGGAGCTTCTAAATTTGTCAAATTCTCTGATCTTACACGTGCGACAAGCTTGTCGATGGTTTAATCAGATTAGTTCTCAGGTCATCAATCGAATTCAAAAAGTGTTTCTTACTGTTTGCATAATCCGCCTTTGTGTCTATTTCTATCTAAAAAGCCATTTCAGTTATTGTCATTATTTGGCGTCCGTTGCCGTTGTCGACGTCGCCCGTGAACTTTCCTACTAGGATCTTCTCCTCGGCTATTGTTTACTAAAGAAAGCAAGATCGATGTGTGAATTATTTCCTCGAAACGCTCTGATATGTTAGTGACCGCATGAAATGAATGTTGATCGATCCTTCTGTTTACGAACACTTAATGGTGTTTTTGTCACAAAGTATTGTGCTTTATGATGACAGTTAACTTGAATCTTATGCGGATTTAAGATTCCTTAAATGAAACATAAAATATATTATCAAACATTTACAAAAAACACTGCAATAATCAACCCAAATCACCAACAATTTCTATATTTAAAGATCGTGTTCACAGTCACATCATTATCAGGGCCTCGATGGCCGAGTGGTTTAAGTAGTCGAACTACTGATCACTAGCCTGTTATGAGTTCGAATCCGACACATGGCAGGTGCGCGTTCGACTCTGATCTTAATTGACTAGGATTATCAGTTTTCTTTCCGAAGGTCGGTGGTTCTTTCTGGGCACTCCGGCTTCCTCAACCAATAAAAAATGACCTCAACGAAATATCGCAAGAGTGATGAAAGTTGGGTAAAAACAATCAATTAATCAATCAATCAATACATAATTCTTTTTATCTTACTTTTTTAGTCATACGCTCCTCATGTATTTAAGTAGTAATACATGTTATGCTTTCAATTGTTTATTTGATTGTTGGTGTCTTACGCCTCTTTCAACAATCTTGGATACATAACGGTGGCCAATTTGTATTAGTGGATGCCAGAATGTTCCAGAGAACCACCGACCTTCGACAAAAAAAACCCTAGTAATTCTAATCAATTTCGATCGGAGTAGACCGCCACTACCACTAGCGGGTTCGAACTCACAACCTTAGTGTTAACAGGCTAGTAATCGATGAAGATGAACTATTTAGACTGGTTTGCCAACAAGGCCCTCAAATGTTTTTGTTAAAGCGTTCCTGGTGAAGCAAAATTTAGAAAAGAGCACATTATCTGTAAAGTGATATTTTATTTTATTGTCCTTCTTTATTACAGGAGACAGCCTTACTGCACAAGATTTACCAGTTCCTGGTGAAGTAAATTTAGAAAAGAACACATTATCTCTAAAGTGATATTTTATTTTACTGTACTTCTTTATTACAGGAGACATCCTTACTGCACAAGATTTATCATTCCCACCAAATGGATATGGGTTCTCAATATGGGATAGGGACAATGATGGATCATCCTTTATAAATTGTGGAGAGAAAGAATATGCTGGCTGGTGGCTCAATTGGTGTACTGAGGGCAGCCTAAATGGGCAGTATTACAATGGTGGAATGATTGAGAGAGACGGGATTTACTGGGAAGCTTGGAAACTCTCAAAATATTCTCTAAGGAATGTATCGATGAAAATTAAACAAATTTAAACATTTTCATATGCGACTGATGGAGAAAATTGAATACGAATTGTGCATATAAATTAAATGATACACGAAAGAGTAAGTTCTTTTGAGAAGAAAAGGTAGATTCTTTCACATTATTGACATATTCAATGTTTAATAGTTATTGTTTTGTTTTTATTTTGTTTTTGCTACAGAATGTAAATTTATTTTGTTCATCTGCATTGTTTGTGCATTGGTATCTTTAAGAATATACAAAGCAGCAAACTGTTAATCACTCTGAAAAAACGCTATTAATTAATTTCACAGATACTTTCAAACATCTTTCAGCTACACACGTGACTGAACTTACAAAAATAATTATACATCCCTTCACGCTGTTCCTGAATTATGAAAATAACATGAATCTGCAACGTGGTAAGTTCATCGACAGGATGTAAGTATTCGATGGGCATCAATTGAGCCCCTTTTATAGCAAACGTGTTCCAGTATTCTTATAAATCACAGTTTATGGCCAAACTGAGTAAAGATTTGTATAAATTCCTTTTAATTGATAAGTTTGATAACACTTACCGTTACCTTAATTTTTGCTTTAGATAATCAAGATATTTACTTATTTTATAAAAGGATAAAATAAACCTCATCATGCTTACCAGGATAGACATTTTGTACGCCAAACGCGCGTTTCGTCTACAAAAGACTCATTAGTGACGCTAAAAAAAAGTTAAAAAGGCCAAATAAAGTACGAAGTTGAAGAGCATTGAGGACCCAAAACTCCTAAAAGTTTTGCCAAATACAGCTAAGGTAATCTATTCCTGAGGTAGAAAAGCCTTAGCCTTTTGAAAATTCTAAGGTTTTTAAACAGTTAATATATAATTATGACCATATTAATGATAATTCATGTCAACACAGAAGTCCTGACTACTGGGCTGGTGACACCCTCTGGGAGAAAAACTCCACCAGCAGTGGCATAGACCCAATGATTGTAAATAAACTTATCATAGATACCTAAATAACCTAAATAAATCTAACATTAACAGCAATAATTTTTTTTCTAGATTTTTTAATTTCAGTTACTGACTGGATTTATCAATCAATCATTTACGACAAAAGAGACGATTTTTCGTTCCCTATTGGTAATTTCCCTTTTTGAAAAGTGATATTTCTTCACCCCCTTCTTACGGTGTGTATATTTCCTAACTCGTTCACTCTGCCCTTGTCTGTAGTCTTTGAGATTTAAATGAATGCAATCGATGTATAACTGGTAAAGTATTCTGCCAGGGATTTCGTTACCATGAATTACTAAATAATTTCATAGATGTAATATGTTGTTATGACGTTTGACGAAGCTGTAGAATTCTTATCAAAAACAGTTAGTACATCCTTATTTTACCGTAACGTTTATAAATCACGTAAACTACATTTGAAAAGTATTATGCATGTATGCCTATTGATTCTTTCGATAAACGTATTATTAAAGGATATTATTTATCACCGTAGTAAGATCTTTGAATCTTGTTATATCGTTACTAACAATAATTATTTTTTTGATTAGTTAAAACGAAACTAAATTTGAATTACTATAAATTTTTCAAAACTTATGGTCCTAGATCATGTTGATATAATGTACTTTTCTTACGACATTACACAAAGTCATGCTATTCTCAGACTGTTTGTGACGACTTTAAACTGAACCCGTAAACCAAATAGTACATCCACAGCGATCTCTTGTCTGTCATGTTGTAATTAATATTGTGTATAATATGCTCCTGTTACGCAGTCTTCTGCGGCTGAGTTTTCTTTAATAAACTATGAAACTATGAAACATATAAAGTAAGTAAAAGTAAACACTGATGTTGTGTGTTAAAATCCAGCATGTGACAGGTTTGTTCGACTCCGATCTTAAGTTCTCTATGGAAATTCCGGCTTCCTCAACCAAAAAAATCTGGCTGCCACGATATAGCCATGAGTGCTGAAAGTGGCGTCAAATAACAAAAAAAACATCAATCAATGTGTTCTGATTGATACTTTAGTATGAGAAAACATAATTTATTTATTAGTCATTATTGGACTTTAAACTAACATTCAGTAACTGAGATTACTATTAAATCGGTACTTTGTGTCTTTTATGTTTATAATAAATGTTTTATGCTTCGTGCAATGTGTTGAGTCAAGCAGTTTCGAAGCGATTTTTACAGATGTTTTTTATAATGTGCTGTTATAACACTGTCCCAGGTTAAAAGGAATATCAGGAGCTCACAAAAATGTTTAACTCCGCCACATTTTGTATGAGCCTGTCCCAAGTCAGAAGCCTGTGATTTATGAGTTGTGTTTTGTGATACAGCAGGCCGTTGGTTTTTCGTTTTAATTGTTTAAAAGTTGGTATGTTAGGGATTTCTATAGTTGATAATATAATTTGGGTTTATATCATTGCTTGAATCCGCGGCATTTAGACTCTGTTGGACAAATATTTTGTTGGCAATCATCATAACAGATCTACTTATTTTAAGTAGGGATAACTTTTCCCGAGGAGATCGTAACCTAAGCTCTGTACAAATAATTTCTGTTTAATCTGCCGTCCCAATCTCAAAGTCAATCAGCGAAATGATTTCAGTTGATTGATAATAATCAGTTCAGAAAAACAAAGCTCGTTAGTCATGATAGTGCCATCATACCAACAAAATGACAATATATTTACCTGTTTTTTTTTTCTCGTTTATATCTTTTCATTCTGTTTCATACCTAGACCTACACTGACCAACAGACTCTGCATTCCGTTTCTGGATAAAACTATACGACAACTGGTCTAACAGATGAAAAGCAAGAGTAAAGTACTGAACTTGCTGATAGAATATCTTTTTAACATCGGTGGACACAGTCCGTAGTAAATGTTATACAGCAACTACACAACTGTTCCAAAAATGCCAAAAGCACTTTTGTAAGTTTGATTTCCATACAACGTTTTCGAAAATAGTATAAGATGAACTTCTGATACGGATGTAAAGGATTACTTGATAAAGCGTGCTGCTGCTTCATATTGCTTGTTATTTTTTAGATTTTTTCTTTACGCATCTTTTTAAAATGATTTAGATAAAACAGCATTAAGAATGTGAGAAGTAAAACAATGAACCTAGGGGATATAAAAAACCATTAGTTGAAATATAAGGGATAACATAATGAGCAAAAGAAAAAAAAGAAAAATCCGTCGAATAGATAATCACTAAGCTTGAGCATTTTTTCATTTTTAACTAGAAAAAAAATTGCGTCACGAGCTCACCAAAATCCTAAACTTATTAGAACGTTTTAATTAATATTACAAAAATAGCCTGTCTCTTTAATAGTCGGTTGGTTCCTCTTTCCGCGCTGATACGTGGCGCATGATTAATTAACATTATATATTTTTCACTTCACAGAGCGGTATTTTTTTTTCAGAAAAAATAAAATTAAGAAATAATTCTTTCATGCCATGCTCTATGCTCATTTTAACATGGGTAGGCATTATATTTGTCAATATCTTTATACCGGCGTTGTTCGAAATACAACTGACGTTGCAATTTCAATTGTGACGTCAATCACGTGCAGCCCACGTTTTATTGTAATAAGAACATGGCTTTGTTTCCAAAGCGAAAAAAGAACGTCATATTAGAAGCAAAATAAGGCACATTGGATTCCCCTGTGTCCGCGCGGCCGATGATATGGCGCATTACCCGATTTCGCCATATCCGCAATGTAACACAAATACAATATTTCTTGTTAATGTTTATGTCTTCCGAAGGGACGGAAAAGATTAAAACTGATAAGTTCAAGCATAAATTTATAACTGCAATCCAATAATTAGCCATTTTACTTTAAATAAAATTGACATCATAAGATAAAATTGGTTTCATTAAGTCAACTTTTATCAAAATGAAATTAATTTTGCTCCGCATCATTGACAGTCTGTTTGGTTGCAATTTGACTATATTTCGTAGTATAAAATGTTTCCTTTGTTCAAAATAAGCCATTTTTAGAAGGCAAGTGCGAAATCAACGGACATTTGAAGAACTGTCAAAACAGGGGTTTCCCTAATTTTGGACACACATTACACAAAATCTTAAGGGTGAAACCATACATACAGAAGATTTCATAAAATAAAAGTATTATTATGAATTTGTTCACACATTATTGTCCGATTATTGGTTTTATAAGTTTACCAAAGTGAAGCCAAAACATGTGTTTGCAGTCTCAATTGAAAAAAACAAATTAGTGAGATTTTATATTCGTGGTACACATGAAAAAAAGCATGGGAACGTGTTCATTGCTTTAATACAATATCTCTCAAAACCACGTGGGTTCCTTGTTTAATTTGTTCTATAGATACTTATCCATCCAAAGCGCATGAAATCTCGATATGATATATAGAGAATTATATAATAGAAAAACAAAAGATATGGGGTATCCATCCATGACACAAAATCAGTAAATGCACAACATAAAGACATACAAAAGGCAAAGGAATAGCGCTTTCATTGCTGTTCTTCATCTGAAAGTCACAGTGAGACCTCAACACTTAGCAAAAAAACTCTCACCTCACTGCAAGTTTAAGACGGCCCCTAGCACCGGCTTAAGCGGAATTCTTTGCAAAAATAATTTGGATAGACTTTGTAAGATGTAACACCACCCAATCGGGCCCAGTCAAGAAAGAACATACTGGAAAGTAGTACATATCACACTTGTATCAACCCGAGACACCAATATAATCCCAAGAGCTCTGCTCGAGGGATTATGTTGGTTGAGGGTTAATACGGTGTGTGATATTGAAAAAGCCATATCATATATACTTTATTATATACATGTACCTCAAGTATAACTAATCTTTCTTATGTATTTTTCACGAGACATGACGTAATACAAATTAGGGGTTTGATAAAACTTTGGTAACCGTGACTAATATCGATTACGTGACGTCATACAGATTAGGGGTTTGATAATGCCTTTTTAACCGTGACTGATATCGATATCATCACGGATGGCTGATACAGCACGATTGTCATCAATTGTATTACACATACAATTTACCTGTATTTACTACTAAGTATATAATAAATATGATATGTTGCAGGGGTGTCTAATGAAATGTCTCATAGACATAATAGATATTTAGAAAATATATAGTTATAATTATATTGGTATATTTATCTTCATATTGATTACATTTCAAAATCTGCAAAACCGCATAATTTCTTTACACCACTGTCATCTTTAATAAGCCACCCAAATTGTGTATTTCATTTAGTCCTTAAACAACCGAGGAGAGTCTCCATAAACACCCGGAAAGAAGTAAATGTCTTCCTTAGGGTTGACTTAACCTCCGATACGGTCAATTTCTGACCAAGTACTTCTGGATCTTTGCCTTTTGCAACTAATCTGTTTACCTATAAATAATTGAAAAGATGGTTTATTATATAAATTTAAACTAATCATATGATCAATCATAACGAATTCCTCGAAATTTGTGTTTATCTTTTATTTATTGTTTATTTATTTTTTACAACCCCAACATGTAGCGCTACTCACTGTCAAACAAAAACTAAATATGAAAGTAAAGTTTCGGAAATAGTTTTTGAAAATCGGTTATATTTGTCTCGTTACATAATATCATATGTAGCAGTGAACACCCGAAATCAACATGGTCGTTGGATAATGTAGAAAAAGGTATGTCGTGTATCAATTAATGACACAAAATTCAAACGCACTGAATGTATATTATACTTACACAAATCAATTTAAATCATTTGTGAAAGAGGGACGAAAGATACCAGAGGGACAGTCAAACTCATAGATCGAAAACAAACTGACAACGCCATGGCCAAAAATAAAAAGATAAACAGACAAATAATAGTACAGATGACACAACATAGAAAACTAAAGACTAAGCAACACGAACCCCACCAAAAACTGGGGGTGATCTCAGGTGCTCCGGAAGGGTAAGCAGATCCTGCTCCACATGTGGCACCCGTCGTGTTGCTTATTTTATTACAAATCCGGTAAATAGTGATTTATGTCCCTTTTGGTCATATATCTTCATGTCTTTACTTTGGCTTTTATTTATTTGGGTTTGGGCCTTCCTGATGAAGGTAAGTTGAGAAAGGTGCTTTGGACGCCGAAATTAATGAAATGTTATTTGCTTCATCAACCCTGTATAAAGGGAACGTACATCTGTGTAAGTGAGATATATTTAAAGGCGGTGAGACTCATCGCATGTCATTGCTGTGAAACGCGTATTAAAATAAGTTATACATCACGTGAATTTGATGACGTGAAAAACTGCCCTATTCACTGAATTAGATCAATAAAATTTGAACAGTCCTTTTGAAAACAATTTTCTTGTAAACCGAACCAATTTTCTACATTTTACACTTATCTTATCTGTATTCGAACATAATCAAGTCTACAAATGTTGATCCTGACAGTTTAGATTGAGTTTAATTACGTCCATGATCAATTTTATATATCGTTCTTTTTTTCTTCGTCAGCATGTTGAACCTGAAAATTTGCAATCTAAGCTCTACTTTTCGTTAATAGCATTGAATAAAATCAATATGTTGAACCTTTATTTTAAAACCGAAAACATAGCTCTAGCGCTGCGTTTATTATTTAACAGTTTGAATTGAGCTTAAGTTACGGTCCTGAATAATTGAAAAAGTTGAACTATTCGTCGATGTCTGGATGTTTTAAAACAGCGGTGGTGTCCAGATGATTTGTACAATCGTGTTTATATTGCAAGAAATGTGCATTATTTATTTAAAGACAAATGTTTTAAGATTGTATATTCATTTTCATAGTAGCAAAGAAAAACCCGTTTAACAGTCCAAACCTATTATGTATAAAATATAAAAAGTAATTTCATTAGCTGACAAATTATGAAATTTTGTCTAATACAGAAACAGGTCGATACAATTTCACATATCAAATTGATTGTGATAAATTCTATCAAATTCACTTCATTATTTGATAAAATATAACAAAAATAAAGTAAAAGATAATGAAAGGTTCAGATAAAAAGCAACGATCCAGTTTTAAAATTTTGATATAATTGTATTCAGATTTTTATTAATGTTCACTTAAACCGATTTTTTTCATATTGTGTTTGTGTAAAAGTATTCGATGCAAAAGTGTTTGCACAATTTGAAATCTTTCTGGTATGGCCAATTTTAGTTGACAATATTTGTTTATCGATATTTTACCTAATATAGAGATATATTACACCTGATCCATATATAAAACTATCCAGAGAGATAGTTGATACATATGTTTCTGATTGGACATAATTAAATTCTGAACTTATTGACCCTTTACCTGCCAATCTTTAGCGACAGAGTAATCGAACCTAATTGTGTTTTGTTATTGATGCGATATTGAGATATGAAGCCTTATAAACCTTATGTCCCAGGATAGGGGGAGGGTTGGCGCCTTCAAACGAGTTTAACCCCGCGACTTTCTATATGTGCCTGTCCGAATTCAGGAGCCTGTAGAGAGGTAGTGAGGTGGTGGTTGTTTGTTATTGGTTATTATATTTGTTTTCTATTTATTATTTTGTATAGTGTGTGCATGTGTTGTACTGTTGCACCACTGTCCAGGGTTAGGGGGAGGGTTTGGCGCCTCTAACTAGTTTAACCCACCACATTCTGTATGTGCCTATCCCAAGTCTGGAGACTGTAATTCAGTGGTTGTCGTTTGTTGCTGTGTAACATATTTGTTTTTCGCCCATTATTTTGTACATAAATTAGGCCGTTAGTTTTCTCGTTTGAATTGTTTTACATTTGTCATTTCGGGGCCTTTTATAGCTGACAATGCGGTGTGGGCTTTGCTTATTGTTGATGGCCGTACGGGGACCTGTAGTTGTTAATTTCTGTGTCATTTTGTCTCTTTTGGAGAGTTGTCTCATTGGCAATCATACCAAATCTTCTTATCTTTATACTTATAGTTTCATAAGTATCACAAATTTAGTGTTCATTTAATACGTCGGATGCAAGATATCACTGACATTTCTTTTATGAAAGGGGCATTAGCTGCTAAATTAATTCTATCGATTTGACTCAAATTATCACATTTGATTTATAGCATGCTAAAACGTATCCAAATTACAATAAGTCGTCAACAGTGCATGGACTCAATAATATATATCATCAGTTCGTGTGAATTTTAGTCTAGATGCGATCTAATTTACAATAAAGATGACCTCCGAAGACTGCCGACGGTCAAATAACCCGATATAAACATAAATATAAATATAAATAGATAGCAACCACGTGCAATTGAATTTGTATATGTCTGTTTGAATATATGTCATAGGTTGATACATTCGTATGACGCGCAGTTTATACTTAGTTTGTGGCGTCCTGGTGTACTGTCATAAATTTATGGGAGGTGTCCGTTGTTATTCTGTAGTTAACATGTTGTAACGAACTATTATATTATTTATTTATTTATTTCTCTGTCCTGAGTGTTCCTGCGTTTATTTGTACTGTATTCCTGTCCCGTAATGTTGTCATATTAGAGGAATTTTTAACATTGCCATATAAGCGGGAGGTTTGGCTAGCCATAAAACCAGGTTCAACCCACCATTTTTTCTTGAAATGTCCTGTACCAAGTCAGGAATATAGCAGTTGTTATCAAATAGTCCGTTTCTATGTATTTTGACGTTTATTTTTGTTGCAATTCAATGTGTCTGTTGTTCTGTTGTTTTCCTTTAATTGATGATGTGTTTCCCTCGGGTTTAGTTTGTAACCCGGATTTGTTTTCGCTTAATCGATTCATGACTATTGAACAGCGGTATACTGCTGTTGCCTTTATTTACTTAGTATCTCTTTATTTTTGATTCTGCATTTAATTTAGCGCGATATTCTATACTTTATTTTAAAATCTCAGTAAGAATGAACATGTTTATTACACACGTGCTGTATGCCCATATAAAGTTGCTAGCGTTTGATCTTTTTACATTAAACCTAAAATATACTTTTCAAATTGTCTTATTCTGCTAACATGATTTATATTGAAAATATAAACTTTTTAAATATACCAACTCTAAGAAGCAAATGGTGCAATTCTTCATGTATAGCATGGTATTTGAATGTCCAGACCACTGCATTTAGGAACCAAGATCCAGTGTCAATATTCAAAGATGAAAGTGTCCCTACAAAAATAAAAAAAGGAGATAAATACAATGTAAGTATAAGTTACAATCATTATCATACAGAAGTAGGATCTACAAAAAATTTTTGTTAAACATCAAGGTAATTGATTTTCTTCAAATTTCTTCTTTCTTCTTTACACTTTATGATGTCGCTTATCTTTTTTTTTTTATCATACAAATGTTTCTAATAATATCTTCAAACAATTTAGCTTTGCTAATTTATTGTCTTTATACATTTATTTGAATTATTTGATTTCCTTTGACAATGATTTAAAGCATTTCAATATACATTTCGAATGGTATGGTTCTAGTAGTGTTTTATTAATGGTGATAATGATTATATGACAATCTTGCCCTGTATTTAAAATCACAAGCAAGTTTTTATATTAAAAATCTGAATATGTAGTCAAAATGAATGACCTCTTTATAAGCATGATAAGAATACGAAGATTTGTTATTATTGCCATTGAAACAACGTTTACTACCCATCAGAGACAAATGGATTTTGATTTAAGCAAGTATAGGTCACCGTACTGCCTTATTTAATGAGCAAAACATACCGTATAGTACAATATAAAGGCACTGGCATGAAAAGATGTGAAACACTTCAAATGAGAAAAACAACAACACGATTAATGCTTGTGTGTGCCACATAATTCTCCAATTTTAAGCCAGTTTGTGTGCTAAATTTTAATAAGACGCACACCACCTATTGTTGGCCCCCATTCCTTTCCACGTGGAATTTTTCACTTCCAGATATTTATGAGGGGGCGGTATTAATATTCCGTTATTTACGCACCATACCGTACTGGGTACCGGGATTTTGTATACAACAAACCAGGAACTTCATATCTGAGATACAAGCAGTATATGGCCTCATTTTTAGAATTCGTTCATACATTTTTCTATTATTCAAAGTTATCAGTGAATATGTGTTCTACAAGGACCATCAGTCCGTCACCTTTCTGTGATACCTACATTACCAAAATATATATTCTTCATAGTTTGATATTTACACCTATGCGAAGAAGGATCCCGGAACTATTTTATTTTAAATGTGTACTGCTTTCCAAAATGGTCTTTTTGACCAGGCCCGATTTAGTGGTGTTACAGCTTTCAAAGTCTAACCGAATTATTTTGCAAAGAATTTCGCTCAAACGGATGAGGGACCGTCTTAAAATTGTAGTGAGGTGAGATTTTTTTTTGCTCCATGTTGAAGGCCTCACTGTGACTTTGAGATTAAGTACAGCAATAAAAGCGCTGCTCCTTTGCTTATTGTGTGTATTTTGCTGTGCATGCTCTGCATTTGTGTCATGGATGTATACCCCATATCCTTTGCTTTTCTATTAAAACAAAAATGAAAAAAGAATACGATAGTAGTCAAATAGAGACAACCACTGAATTACAGGTTCCTGACTTTGTACAGGTACATAAAGGGTGTGACGGGTTTAATATGTTTGTGAGCAGCAGATCCTCCCTCTAGTCAGGGATACTAGATAACCGCACAACATAAAAACAAATGTTAAGAATAAGTGTGAAAGATTGGCCTCATCAGATCGGCACGAAACACAGAAACATTCAACAAAACAACAAAAGATACAAAGTACAGATCTCAGAGAACCAGTAGTATCGAAAGCTAATGTAAAGCCATTACATCTATCATATACATCATGACATCCAAGACTCAAATATCATTTAGTACCGATTTAGTGTATAATTTGTTATAAATATGCCAATTTGTAGATGATTTATTTGATTATACATAAAATGGGATTATAGAATAAACAAAATTATTAGACAGAAACACGGACCAACCATTAACATGCCACCGACTCCTCTTTCATTTTGACAAAAAAAAGAATCCTAGTTTTATAAAAAAAAAAGGTTTTTCAATTCAGATGTTTGCCGCCCACTTTTTTCAAATATTGTATGTAGACACTACGAACTACATGTTTCGGAATCGGTACCTCTAAAATCATAAAAAACAGCAGGTATAAATCGTCATACCCTATATAATAATCAATAGAAGTATTTTCAAATTCTGTCTAGCAGTAATCAAGAAGTCAAGATAAACAAATTGACAAAACACAACATGTAATAGTTCTGTTTTTTTTTTTAGAAAAACCCATAAATATAAAATGATGTTACAATGTTCCTTATGAGGTTCTTTCCAAATCTTTTCCAATGACTTCAACTAGCCAAGCGTAGTCTAATTGGTCTTTCTTTCAAATATCTTCTTTTCACAAACTAATGAACCGATAAACAATGCATATAACAGAATTACAAATCATAAATAGCCTTACTTAACTAATATGTATTTATACAAGTTTAACGAACGAGCATATCTTCTCATTTGCCTTCTGCAAAATAAACAAATATGCATAGCCCAGCTACTAACAGGGTGACACTTACTTGAAATCTGACACAACTTTAAAAGCAAATTTGCGATGTGCTCACTACTACACGACCGTAGCTAGGTAGTGAAAGATGTTGACTGAATACTACCGATCATGGAAACAAATAAATCAGAAACAACAATAAGGTGTAAAACCTCATCTGGAAATATCATTGTTTTTGGGATAAACAAGCAAGTGAAACTAAATTAAAAATAAAATGTCATACAAGTGGGAGGTTTCGCTAGCTATAGAACCAGGCTTAACTCACCATTTTCTTTGGACAATGCCTATTCCAAGTCAGGAATACGGCAGTTGTTTTTCACTTGTTCCGTTGATTAGTAGCGTTTGATTTGACAGTTTTTATGGACTTCCCCTTTTTTAATTGCCTTGGAACTCGGTATTTTTAGCTTAGCAGATTATAGATTATGATTGGCAGAGCAGAAGTATTAATTATTATATAAACCATGAAATCTATTTCAGAGTGAACGATACGCTTTCAGAATAATATAAATCAACGTAAATAGACTTGGACTAATCTTTCAGTGCTTTTAACAAGTTCCTTAACTACTATCAAAGAGCTTATCATAAACTATTGTAATAAAATATATGAATATAGTGGAATTAACTATTTTTGGAGTGTAAAAATTTCTTTGGATGTTTCAGATAAATTACGTGCTTTTGATGGTCCTTTTGATTCTGTTGACAGTTTTGACTTTTCTACTCTTTACACTACACTTCCACACAATCTTCTCAAACAAAAACTTGACTATTTAATTAAATGGTCGTTTGGTAAATCCGAATGCTAATATATTTGCTGCAACTCATTTAAAGCCTGCTTCTCTAATGAGAAAGGTAAATATGCTAGATATACTTACTGGAGGTGTGATGAGATAATTGAAGCTATTAATTTTCTCCTTGATAATATTTATGTACGTTTCGCAGCAGCAAAGTTTATCGACAGGTTGTAGGTATTCCTATGGGCACTAATTGCGCCCCTTTAATAGCAGACTTGTTTTTGTACTGTTATGAATCACAGTTTATGACCAAACTCAGTAAAGACCCGTCTAAATTGCATTTAATTGATAAATTCAACAACACTTACCGTTATCTTGATGATATTTTTTCGTTAAATAATCAAGAATTTTCTCAATATACTGCCGAAATTTCCCCAAAGGAACTCACTTTAAATAAATCAAATTTAAACGGTAACAACTGTCCTTTCCTAGATTTAGATATTTCGGTTTTACACGGGAAACTCCACACTAAAATTTACGACAAAAGGGACGATTTTTCGTTCCCTATTGTTAATTTTCCCTTTTTGAATGGTGATGTTCCTTTGGCACCATCTTACGGTGTTTATATTTCACAACTCGTTCGCTATGCCCGTGTCTGTTGTGACGTTTTTGATTTGAACGAACGTAATCTATGTATTACTGGTAAATTATTAAGCCAGGGATTTCGTCACCACAAATTACTTAAAACCTTTACTAAATTCTTCCACAGATATAAAGATTTGGTTTTGAAGTTTGGTTGTACCTGTAGAAAACTTATTTCAAACGGGATTGCACATCCTCATTTTTACGGCAATATTGTTTACCGTGCCCGGAAATTTAGAAACGATCCTGGTAAACTTATCGATCCTTTAAATAAACTTATTCTAAAAGGTTACCAATTCAACACTGTAATTCGATCATTAAATATTGTTTTTATTGGTACTGATATTGATTTTGTTATCAGTAAATTAAAAGCAAACTAAATATTATTGCTATATACATACACATTCATGGATCTACAATCTGTCGATACCTGTATCTTGGCATTGCACAAGGTCATGTTTTTCTCTGACTGTTTCTGACGCCTTTACTAAATCCATTGGATGTTGGATGTGTACGGATTGATAATTTAGTCTTAGATGCATGATTTTTTTTCATAGTTGTTAGTGGCTTTGAACTAGCTGTCAGTAACTGCGAGTACTCTCAGATCTGTACTTAGTGTCTTTTTGTTGTTTGGATGTACAAGTACCCGGCCACGTCCACTTGTATTTGTAGTATTTGTATTTTTATCCATCTGATGAATTAAGCCTCTTTCAACTGATTTTTATAGTTCGTTCTGATGTTGTTCTGTTACACCACTGTCCCAGGTTAGGGGGAGGGTTGGGATCCCGTTAACATGTCTAACCCCGCCACATTCTGTATGTATGTGCCTGTCCCAAGTGAGGAGCCTTTAATTCAGTGGTTGTCGTTTGTTTATGTGTTACATATTTGTTTTTCGTTCATTTTTTGTACATAAATTAGGCCGTTAGTTTTCTCGTTTGAATTGTTTTACATTGTCATTTCGGGGCCTTTTATAGCTGACTGTGCGGTATGGGCTTTGCTCATTGTTGAAGGCCGCACGGTGACCTATAATTGTCAATTTCTGTGTCATTTGGTCTCTTGTGGAGAGTTGTACCATTGGCAATCATACCACATCTTCTTTTTTATATTGGATATATGTAAAAAAAAAATCAAAGATATTTTGAGGTTTACATACGGTCTGCAAACATAAAAATGATTCGGTACAAAATATCTACCTCAAAATTGAATGCAGTTATGAAAAAAATCAAAATCTAAACAACAGGAAAAGACTAGCCAAAAACCATTTACGGTCAAGTTATAGAATTGCAACCTTCAGTATAGTACATGTACGTTTATTTGAAACTGGCAATATCGATCCATACACAATGATTCATTTAAATCTTCTACGTAACAAAATAATGACTTTTATTTTCTAAATGAAGCTAATCAATACAATCTCAATTGTGACAACACTATTAAAATAAGCTTTTTACCTGCCGGTGTTGCGTACACTACTAAAAAGTCTGCTGCAGGATGTTTTACTTGTGATGTGTGTTCATCCTTTGATGGTGATGCATCGACTTGATCTTGGCCACCAGGTTTATTAGATTGAAGTTTCTGCTTTTCCATTTTAAAACATACCTTTGAAAGCTGTTCTCCAGGTGTTTCTACTTATAATAAAATTGAACAAAAGGTATAACAAAAAATACTTAATTTAAAGCATTAAAATCATTTTTATTTGTGTCAAAATATACTATAGTAACTTGCAAACTATCATCATTCGAATTTATAGAACACCAAACATTGACATTTCTAGTGGAATGATGGTCTTCATTATACATTTAACATGCCATAATGCAATCTAATAAAGAATCTAAAATTTCAAGTAATGGACTTCATCTAAAAGTAGTAGTGTAACTGAGGACAGTAATCTCATTTTGTTTTCAGATTTTGTCATGTTTAAAAAGACAGATAATGACAGACATAGGATGCGCTATTTCTCGTGTGTTTACAGAAATATTGGTAACGTGTTATGATTGAATTAATTGACATATGGTGTGATGGTATTTATATAGAAAAACTTAATAAAAGATATCAGGAATATGATTTTGTAGGCCAGAATGTTAGAAACCGTAGTCTTCACATATGCAGCTTTATTGCATACCTTGACTTAAACTACATTGAAGCGCTCATTTACAATTACTAAACTTCAGGAAACTGAAAATTCGATTCAGTCATCTACCTACAAATAAAGCTTCACATGAAATGCAAGCAGGGGATACAATTGATATCAGTTCAAAACTATAAAATTGATTGTCAATAAATATTATCTAACCTTCTCGACAAGCTTGCACAAATACCAATCTTGGTTTTTCGTCTAAACCTTTACAATGATTTGAATCAAACACAGCTGTGATATCTGTAAGTTTAACTGGTATATTGTCATCTCTGAAAATACATTCACCCTTTCCATGACTCATTAGAATAAGAACCACACACTCAATTTTATCCCAGTCAGCAATACTGTCTCGTTCTTTTTCTAAACATTTAACCATTTCCTGCACACAAACATTTATAAAAGCAAATAAATCAGTATTTGGTAAAAAACGTTCAGTTAAATTAAGGCGACAATAATGTACTGACGTTCAAATCTCATAAATCGTTTAAGAATAGACAAATAAAGGTAGAAAAATACTGAGGGAATAGCAAACTCAAAAATGAGCGAGACCGAATGCGTCGACATACTTAAGCCTCCCCTGCTTTGCATGCATCACCCACAATGCAAATCAACTCAGTGTCCTAATCGGGAATATGACACCATCGGTAATTTTTTTTTAAATCAGACGATGATACAGGTATCTAAAGATTGAAAACGGCAAAAACATGTCACTAGTTAGATGAGACACCGACACATCGTATCAGTTTACGAATTCATGATGATGACCGTAAATGTGTAAAGGGTAGATTTCAGTCATTCCTCCTCATAAATGTGCTGGAACAGTTTTTATATTAATAGCACACCACTGTTAATAAAATCCGTATAGCGTCAACATGCACGGGCGTTAGGTATAAACTGAGATGTGTAAACACCATACAATGGACCACAAGGTTTGTTATTGCTTAGAAATGGGAAGTTGACAATCGGAAATTTCAAATCATCAAAGTTGTTATCGATTCTAGTTTGAAGTTGTTCATCTGTGCCAATTGCGAAAAAGGTATCAATATATGAGACATTCCTTCTACTGTGGGTAGTATTCTCAATCTAAAGTTTACTGGGATATGATACATAAGTGCCTATTGAAATATTGTTTATTTAGTTATATGACATGTGATGTAAATTACAGTCAATCAAGATAAAAGAATAATTAAATTTCAAAGCAACGCTGTAGTCATTATATATTTAAACTACAGTTGAAATACTTTGAATAAAAGTTTTAAACCTGATCATAATCTATCGGTAAAAGGAAATAACAAAAAATGCCGAAATTTGAGTAAAATTCAAAACGGAAATTTCTTTATCAAATGGCAAAATCAAAAGCTCAAACACATCAAGCGAATTGAATACAACTGTCATATTCATCACTTGGTAAAAGTATTTCTGAACAATACATCTTAATAGCAACTGTCATACTCCTGGCTTGGTACAGGCATTTAGGTATGTAGAAAATGGTTGGTTAAACCTGGTTATACAGCTAGCTAAACTTCTCACTTGAATTACAGTCTCATATAATTCCATTATATTGACAACAGTGATCACCATCACGGTAACGAACACTGTGACACCCGGGAATATGAGGTTGACAGAAAGATTTAAACATTTTATTTTCAATTCAAAGTTTTTTCTCTTTGATAAGATGTGTCACTTGGTTGGTTTTTACGATTGTCTTTATGTTATATTTGCATATTTACTCTTTGCAATTCTTGATATTTTCGGAATTGTTTTCGACCAGCATTGTCATAAAATAAATTTTTAAAACATACACAAATTACATTAAATTTATAGTTAAACTTGAAAGTTAAGGTAATGTTTACGAATGCTAAGCAATCCCTTTTAATGAAAGGCACTAGTTTTGATTAATTAAACTGATATCATGATAGGGAATTTACACAACTTGGTTTGACTGCTAAGCGATATAAAAAAAAAACTTTCTGACATGTTTTCGTAAAGTCTGAATAACTGTAAATTAATTTGCCATATTTTTATCTTATCAAATTTAAATGGCAAAAAACAATGCAATTGGTAAAAGCAGATCGGGAGACTTTTCAAGAATCTAAAGATCTAACACTGCGAAAATATGCACTAGTAAGTTGAGGCAATTGCTGAAGGTGACGTCAAACTTGTGTAGTGTAGATTCTAGTAGTTTTATCTCATAACTCTATAATCGGATGTTTTTGTCATTAAAAGCCTGGAATATTTTGCTGATGTCCAATTCAAATTTTGGTGACCAATTTCAATGCATCCTCTACCTCGAAATAAAGTATACAACAGATATAGTTAAGTAATTCTCATATTTTGACTTAAAACTAGAAATTGACTATGAGGGTCAGTTAAGAACAGCACTTTACAACAAAGAAGATGATCTCAACTTTCTAATTGTGAACAATGCATTTCTGAACAATACATTTTGATATCAGTTTCAAAAAGAACACAGAAGGCGTATGTACACATGGTCATGCATTTTGTTAGGAAATAATGCCTGCTTTAATAATTTACCTGTAAACCTATTTGCATATTACGCCTATTTTTTTGTTGCCTATGTGTACTCATTCAAATAAAACACCCATATTACGTCTGGCTTACATAAAATAACATTAACGATACCCATTTACTACACCAAATGCGCATTTTTTTCTATGTAGTGTGTTGTTGAATTTTGTTTGTCTTTCGCTTCTTTGTGTTTTCCATGTGAATCTCGGGAATAAAGGAGTGTTCATTTCAAACTTATCTTTTTATTGTTTGGGGTTGTCTGAAAATAACAATTTACCATACAATTGTAGATAGAAATTCCATGAAAATTTATAACCATTCTTGTTACCTCTGCTTTTAAATCAGTCTTTAGTACAACTTCAAAATGCAATTTTTGGAATAACTCTGTAAGATTTTGTACATCGACACTTGTGCCTTCTCTTTTCTGTGTTTCTGCATGTTTCGTATGTGAAAATGTATTATTGATCATGAACACTTTTCCACGTGTTTCCCCATGAATTTTATAAACATCCTGAAAAGTTTGTAAAGATATATTTATATTTTTAAAACAATTCTACTATAATTTTGAATGTTAGAAGCGCATTTTGTCTTCAAACAACTCGTCAGTGAGACTTGAACAAATAAAATTAAAAGGCCAAATCGAGTACGAGGTTGAAGTGCACTGAACACTGTAACTTCCGAAAGCCTTTGCCAAATACAGCTAAGCTAAGGTAATCTATTTCTGGGATAGAAAATCCGTAATTTTATCAATAAAAATCATACTTTCGTAAATAGTTAATACTAGTGTATGACTATATCACTGATATTTCATGTAACATGATGTTAGTTTATCTTCGTTGTATGTATCCTACTTTTTATTTGATATACTTCTTTAAGTGAAAACGTTCCCGATGAATGAAAACTTTTCAGATTGAAGAATGGTTTTATCTTTTAAGGTAGACTAACTGTATACCGCCATCTTTGATTGTAAAATAGTAGTTAATTATCGGTCTAGTTGTTTACTCAAATCTGCAAGGGTTGAAGCAGAATGGCAATTAATAATAGTCTTGCTTGTCTTAAAGCACATAAAGGCCAGCTTGTGACAAACATTACAAATTACGTAAAAAGGCATACAACAAATTTTCTAACAATCAGTAAATCAAGTTTCCCATGTCCCTAGTTCCATTGGCCGTTTTAAAAAAAAAACTTATACATTGTACCTGTATAAAATTTGTCAGATTCAATATATATTGTATCTTTTTTTTATAAGAGAAATTCAAAAATTCAGTATTTTGAGAACCAATTTCAGAAAAGTAATTGATTCTTGCATATTTATTTCTCTCGAAATAAAATGCATCATCTTTATCATTATTTGAGCACAAATAACATAGTAAAAGATTTCGAGGTACTATGTCATATCTACTCAAATCAAGTTCCAAATTTATGTTTGGGACTGTTTATTTAAAAAAAGAAAAATAAGTGAGTTATTGCATTATTTAGACAGTTTAACAAGTAATACCAAACATTTGTGTATGTTCAATTAAATTTTACAACTTTGCCGTATAGGGGAGATAACTCTTATAATATTTTTTTAAGTAATGTTGTCGTTTTAACTTGTAACAAGAAAAAAAGTTCGGTGACACCATTTTGTCTTTATATTTTCTTAAAGCATATTATAAAACCAGTTTTCTCATATTTTTTTTTAATTCTATCTCAAAGATCTCTTTTAATTCACCCAGAAGCTTTTTTTTTATTAAAGCATAATCAATTCATAATTGGCATTTGCGCACAACTGCTAGCTTGTAAAATAGCACGGTGACCCGTACTTTTTATTATATGGAAAACATGGCAAAAAAGAACATTTTGGCAAAGTATAAGAAAATTCTATGTGAGGAAATATATAGTGATGACCCACCTTAAGCACTGATGCCAGTTGCAACTGAATATTATAAATATAAGGAGATGCGACGTTAAATGGCAAGATTTGCATAACATGTAAAATTATCTCCAATACACATACAATGGAAAACCGTTTGGCATTACACATATGATAAACAAGAAATTTTCTATAGCATTCAGTTGCAAAAATGACTAAGTTCCAAACATGCGAAACCTTAGATAAAATAAAAAATTCTAAATAGGTGTACATGTTCAATATATTTTCAATCACTGTGCACAAATAATTTACAATGATTAAACGTGTTGCGTCCGAATCGATTTACAAATTATACTTTCAACATGAACGCTCCGATTGATTTATGGCCTATGTGGATCATATATTCTACTTTAAAATTCAGGATTTTAATAGATTGTTGCAGTTTATTATCTTTTGAGAAAGATACAGTATTATATGATTATTTCGATCGACAACTTGGTGTCTTTTTTTTCTAATCTACATTATTACATACATCTTTGCTATATTCATGCATTAGCGGACTCTTTTTGTCTTTAATTTTAAATACTCTGTGCTTTGTCATTGCTGCTTGTTCGTCTTTGGCTGGTGGCCATGCTTTAATACAAAATGGCAACTGTTAATTATAAAAAGATCAAAGTATACGATAAATATAAAGTGTAACCATAAAATTTCGAAAAACAATATTTTGTTTATTCTGTCCCAAAGTTTTCCAATACAATATTAATTTCTGTTCAGTGATATTATTCGGTGAATGCCGTCCCTTTCCACAATTCAGTATTGAGAAACTTTGGATACAATTCCGCTTGAAGGGGTACCAGGTTGTTTTTTTTTTTTTTACTTCAACGGAAAAGCAGCAATTGTACATAACTTATAAATATAACGCTTGTGGCTTTTTAAGAAATATCATTCATTGTTTTCCGCTAGAAAAATTGCGTTTAAATGGATGAAGGGAAGAGACCTCTGTCTGATTTATTTGTTCGGTTCTAGAATGACTTTTCTGAATTATGTTAATGTCATTCTATACGCCCTATTTATGTGAATTTCACATTTCAAGAGGGCTTCAACTTCCTTCTTCTGGTTTAAGATATCATATTGTGTAATATTCACCTTGGCTAACATGGATTCTGCTATTCAGTTTAAATTTTTTTTTTTTTCAATATGTTCTGCATAGAAAATTAAGTTTTATCGGTCATTGTCAAATTTGACTAAAATTATGTTTGTTTGTCCTATAATGCCACAAATATATACAGCTTGTCATCTAAGGATGTTGAGGAAATATTTTGTTACAATTTGCCAAATAATCTATAAATTATTACCATGGACAAAGTTAACCGACGATGAACACAAAGTGATGGCAATGTATACCATTTCCTATTCGTGCTTGTTAGAAAAAATAAAATAGAAAAGTAAAGAAAATGTCGAAAATGTCTAAAATACGCTCTGGTGGTTTTTTTAGTTTTTTTGTTTTTTTGTTTTTTTTTTATCATGAAGCCGTTTGTGAGATGTTAGAAATATTGAAATAGAACGATGAATACAAAATATAGAAATGAAAAGAAAATCCGATTTATGCATTTAACATGTACCTTTAGGGTCATTCCAATTTTCAGTATTTTCGATATTTTTTACGTATTGTTCTAACAGATCGGCCAAATCACCATTCGAAGTTTGTAAGAACGCAGTGTAAAGACACTTCACACTGCGTGAACCACGTTTGTCGAGAGTGTCCAATATCATCCTAGTTTTCTTTTCTGTCTCAGTTTCTTGCTAAACAAAAGAGAGCTGAAAATCAACTTTTATCAAACAATGAAGAATTCTGAATAATACTGCTATTACTTTTGATTTAAAAAAAAAACAACGTTCTCATTTTCCTTGAAACTTGCAAACGTTATTTGTGGGATTATCAACAAAGCGCAATACGTGCAAATACATTACAAAATGATGTATAGTTATTTAGCTACTAGAAACCGTTAATATGATAAACCTTATAAAACACTGTATTGCTTGGCACTTACAAAATAGATGTGTCGAAAATGTCGTTATAACAACACATGTAAAAACATTGAATTGTACTGAAGAACACGCAAGTTTTAGTTGATAATCCGTCCTTAAAACTTAAAGCTAATGGATTTTTTAATGATACAATGGAAACACACGGGTTAAATTAATGATATATACGGGCCGTACATGAGTTCCTGTACTACTGAATTAGTATCAGTAACTACGAGTAATCTCAAATCTGTATTTTGTGTCGTTTATGCTTCTTTTAGGTTAACCTGGTTTTTTTTGTGCTTTGTATCGTTCTGTTGAATTTAAAATATAAAATTGAGAAGATTTGGAATGATTGCCAATGAGACAACTCTCTACCAGGTACCAAATGACGTAGCAACTATAAGTCATCGTATGGTCTCCAACAATGAGCCAAACCCATTCCGCATAGTAAGCTGTAAAAGGCCCTAAATGACAAGTGTTAAACAATTCAAACAAGAAAAATAACGGCCGTATTTATGTACAAGACTATAAACGAAAAACAAATATATTATACAGCAACATGTGTCTCTTAATGTTTTTTTTTTATATATATATTAAAGTAAAGGACTTTTTTCGATAAGGTTCTTAAAAGCTCACGATTCAAAGCTTAAATTTCGATTATGTATTTAAGGGCTATTATCACAATGAATCATGTTAAACCAATTACTATACACAAAATGAGTTTATCTTTCAACATTCGCGTATCAGAGTTCTTGTTATTTTGAAACAGTTAGCACCAAATGCAACAACGACATGACAATTTCCATTTATTGTCACCACCTGAACCAAATTGCGCATGTGTCGACAAAAACAACTTGAAACATCATGTTTGCTATAACAACACATAAACAAGTTTTATTTCTGACTTATTAAGCTTGATGATGTACGTTGTGCTCTATGTTTCTTACGACTAAATTTTGTCATGTTTTATTATCTCTAGTTGTTGCTTACTTGTTGGGTAATTATCTGACTTTTTGTCAAAAAATTCTACAAAAAGTTATATTTTACTTTCTGAAATGTTTATTCTTTTTTAAATTAGAACAATCTTTTCACTATACCTATGCTTTTGCCAGACTTTTATTTTGTCATATTTTGCCCTGAGATGGAAAGGTTAAAATCACGGAATGATAAACTCCCAGTTTTGTTTTCGGGTAGTTTTATATATCTTGTATGATTTTTTTTTATCATTACCAGTTTTATATAAAAAAATTGAGGCCAATTTAAAAACAAAAATTGAGTCAAGAATTCGAATCAATACCCATTCATTTGTTGTTTTGGCATCACGTTGAGAATAAAAAATTAATAAAAGAGGGACGAAAGATACCAGAGGGACAGTCAAACTCATAGATCGAAAACAAACTGACAACGCCATGGCCAAAAATAAAAAGACAAACAGACAAATAATAGTACAGATGACACAACATAGAAAACTAAAGACTAAGCAACACGAACCCCACCAAAAACTGGGGGTGATCTCAGGTAATAAGGGACCACTTTTCCATCAGGTTAATTGTATATTTCTTGACGATCCGACCAAATTCGTTTGAAGTCTTTTCTTTTTAATGTCTAGCATATATTTTGTTCAATTTGAAATAAAAACCTCCGAATAAACAGGTCTTTTTAGGAATCTCGAAATGGCTTTTGTTAGTGATCATCTTCTTTATAATATAAAGGTTTTGCTAAAACATTTCTGTTACTTATTTGAATAGATCATAATTTATTTTGCAAAAGACATTTTACAAACTTTAAAAAATCAGACTGAATTTTGCATACTAGTGCAATGTTTTCACGAGTAAGACTGACATTGTCATTCATGAAGTCTTTCGTTACTCTTGTATATATTCATTTATAGATAGTAGGTAAAACAATGTACCTTGAAAAATGGTGGCACTGATTCAAACTATTATGAATTTTAAAAAAATCAAAGAAAGATCAGATACCTCCACTTGTAGGTACTTATCACTGCTTGCTTACATTCCATTGGATATTTTGTGATGACAATGCAGCAAACTGGGTATATATTCATTAACATTTATATAAATTTAGGCAATAGTTGCTTATCCATGTTCACATTGTTTCGTTTCTTATACATCCTTGGCTTTTAAATATTCGGGTATGAGCGTTCCAGATGACGGTAAATCATGGAAAGCTCTTTTGACGCATAAAATTTATAAAGAGTTGTTTTCATTTTTTTATGTTTGCCCTTTTGACAATTGGGCTGAATACTTCTTTTTGTATTCCAGACACACGAAACTTATAAAATGTTACTAGCTCTTAGTCGATAACTCTACTGGTGGACTATAATCATCAGCTCAGAATGTTTCGGTACAGTAATGATTTATAACGTACGTTTCTTAACACTTTTTACATTTATTAATGTTAGGTTTGACCGTTCTTGATAAAGGTAAATCCAAAAAGCACATCGACCGCACAAAATTTATAAAGTATTTATTTTTAACTTTGTAGTTCGTATATTAGAGAAAATGAAAGACTGTTAACATAAGTTAAACGATTGTAATCGATTATGTGTTGGGAGAAGAGCGATATTAACTTCCTAGATAAATTAAAAAAGAAATAGTGCAAGCGAAAGTATACAGAACGCTTCGAAGAAGAATTTATCAAAATAGATATATCATGTAATGAAACGAGTGTTGAAATATATATAAACATATGAACGCCATACGGTCGGGATTCTAGTCACTTGTATTTTCGGAAATTTATATTTTGATTTGTTACTGTTCCTGGTGTACTGTTAGTTCCCGATGTACCATGCTCAGTAGTCAGTTCGTCTGTTCTGACATGATTTATAACACATTTGTCAATTTCCGAATGCAATGTACTAGTAAATCTTCGATGAATTTTGAAATTCTCTTTATGATAATAAGAATATGTGGTATTATTGCCAATGAGAAGCATTGAAAATTCGCTAAAAAATCACTCTATATCGTCATCAAATCGGTGACGTGGATTTGAAAATATTTTTTGAAAACGAACACGAAGAACGTTTAAGCACTCGTAATATACTGCTGTGAGATAAAATTCGATGCATATTTAGATTGTTGACTTCACTATCATCAATACACTCGTATTTGACAGTAATTAGTATAACGTTTTGATGTAAGACTGAAATTACTGCACGACGACGTTGAAGTAAGAATAAATTGCGACGTAATTAAGCGCAAAAGAGGGCAATGGCTTCGTTAGGTTTTTTATATCTAGTTTAAAAAGAATGAGCACAAGGTGACCTGTTATGATCTTCTGCAATTGCCTTTGCAAGAATGTTATTACGAAATTACAGGATAATATCAGATTAATGTTTCTTTTTCGGAATAACATTGGAAAATGAAATCTTGTGTTTTTACATAAAACATGCATAATTCAAGCTGTGATTTCTCGAAAAAGAAGTCATGAAAGTACATTTTTCTGTGCAAATTTTCTGTGCATATTCAAATTGACTTTGTTTTAAAACCTAAAGAAAAATTAATGAACGCTCTTTTCTGCTTCGTATGCCCTTAATTCCCCATTCAAGAGATATTTCTCCTTTTTAAGACATCCATATAAGAATT